CCACCTTTATTTTTTTTAAGACAGTTTCTCGCTCTGTTGCCCAGGCTGGAGTGCAGTGGCACAATCATAGCTCACTGTAACCTTGAACTCCTGGCCTCAAGCAATCCTCCTGCCTTGGCCTCCCAAAGTGCTACGATTACAGGTGTGAGCCACCGTACCTGGCCATGTTCCACTTTTGAGGGTCTTTGCAGGACCCTAAATTTTCTCCCTTTTTACTTCTACCTACATTGCCTAGTTATAAAAGGGCAACTCTCCATTCTTTTTCTTTTTTATCCCTCAGATTTCCTGCCAGTTCAGATCATATATACTTTTAAGATGCTTCCCTGTATATTGTGTTCTGATTTCTGTCAACATGCTCCTTTAGTATGTTCGCACTAGAGATTGTCTGACCCTTCTGGTGGTGCTGCAGAGTTGTTAGCTCCTTAGCTCTCTGTTTCACCCCCTCACATTTCTTCGCCTGCTCTTGCTCACCACACAGCCTTGAATGATTTAGGAGTGTGAGTGTTCCCTTGCTGCAATTTGGTGTTTTCATATTTCTGGCTTACACAAATTTGGACATTACCTATCATATCCTTTTGTGTCATCTTATGTTTTTCTTTTTATTGCTTTGTAAAAGTGGTTCTCACCAGGGGTGTTGTTGCTCCCTGGGGGACATTTGGCTCAATATACAGAGGTATTTTTGGCTGTCACAACTGAGGGTTGGGTGGTGGGGGTTGCTACTGGCAGGTCAGTTCTGCCAAGATTGCTGCTGTGTGTTATTTTTGGAAGAAATATTTTGTGAGATTCACTGTTTTCAGGTAATGTATGCTATTTTAAAATTATCTTTTTAAAAGTCAACTTTATGGAAGTATAACTTACTTAATAATAAAATTCACTCATTTTTCTAATTGAGGTGAAATTCACATAACAAAATTAACCGTTTTAGAGTGTACAATTTATTGGCATTTAGTACATTCACAGTGTTGTTCAACCATCACTTCTGTCTAGTTCCAAAGTATTTTTGTCACCTAGAAGGAGACTCTGTACCCATTAAACAGCCACTCCTCAACTCTCCCCTGCCATCCTCTGGCAACCATTAATCTGCTTTCTGTCTCTGGATATTTCATATAAATTGAATCATATAGTATATGACAGTGGTGTCTTACATACTGGTTTTCGTCCATGGTTCATGGCTTATAACTACCATAGTCCTTGTTACAATGTTGGAGCACTTTAGACCTCAAGAAGGAGAATCTCTCTGACCATCTCCATTCCCCCTTTCACCTGCCCAAGGCAGGACTCTAATCTGATTGTGGGTGAAAAGACCCTGATTCCAGAGAGGGTCCTGTCTCATACCCTGGAGGAAGAAATGTTTCAGAGAGAGGCTGAAAAGAATCTAAACAGACAGGCTTTGCTGAGTTTAGATTATGCACTTTTGTCCAATCACATTTCTACATGGTTGTGAATCATGCATATGTAATGAAGCCTTCATAAAAACCCAAGTGGACTGGGTTTGGAGAACTTCCAGATAGCTGCACACATGAAGGATCCGGGAGGGTGGCACCCCAGGGAGGGCATGAAAACTCTGCACCACCTTCCCCCATACCTCGCCTTACCACTTCATCTGTACCTTTATAATAAATTGGTAAACATAAGTGTTTCTTTGAGTTCTGTGAGCCGCTCCAACAAATTAACCGAACCCAAAGAGGATCCCCAGCTTGAAGCTGGTCAGTCAGAAGCTTTGGAGGCCTGGACTTGTGACTGGTATTGTGGGGCGGGGAGCCCTGTCTTGGGGACTGAGCCTTCATCTTGTGGGATCTGACACTATCTCCAGATAGTGTTGGAATTGAATTAGAGGACACCCAGCTGGTGTCTGCTGCTTGGTGTGTTGGAAAAACCCACATTTGGTCACAGAAGTCCTCTTCTGTTTTGATTGTTATGGAGTTTAGAGGAAAGCACAGTTTGGGGAGTGTTTTTCCCAAAGCAGTGACCTTTCATGTCTGGCTTCTTTCACTTAGTATAATGTTCTCAGGGTTCATCCATGTTGTAGCATGTAACAGTTCTTCTTTCCTTTTTTTTAAATGGAAAAAGCACATAATATCAAATTTACCATGTTAACCATTTTAAGTGTACAGTTCAGTAGCGTTAAGTGTAAGTTCATTCCTTTTTATGGCTGAATAATACTCCGTTTTATGGATGTGCTACAATTTACCCATTCATCAATTGGTGGACATTTGAGGTTTTTTCCATCTTTCAACTCTTGTGGAAATTCACTCATTTTATGTGCACAATTCAACAAGTTTGACAAATGTATACATTTGTGTATCTACCACCTCAATTAAGATATAGAGCATTTCCATCATCATAAAAAATTTCCTATGCTACTTTTTGGCCAGTGCTCTTACCCCTTCCTTCAGTTACTGACCAGTTTCTGTCATTGTTGTTTGCCTTTACTAGAATTTCATAGAAATGGAATTCTACAGTATGTAGTCTTTTGTGCCTAGTTTCTTTCACTTTAACATAACGCTTTTGAGATTTGTCCATGTTGTTACATGCATCAATAGTTTCTTCCTTTTTACTGCTCAGTATACCAGTGTTTGTGTATATACATATTACAGTTTGCTCATCCCTTCACTAGTTTATTACCTTTGAGTTGTATCCAGTTTGGGGCTATTATGAATAAAGTAGCTATGAACATTCAAGTGCAAATCTGCATGGACATGTTTTATAGTCTCTTGGGTAAATATCTAGGAATGATGAGATTGTTAGGTAGTATAATAAGTGTATGTTTAACTTTATAAAAAGCTGCTAAACTGTTTTTCAAAGTGGTTGTACCATTTTGTATTCCCATCAGCAATGTATGAGCATTCCAATTGATCCATTACCTTGTCAACACTTTGCTTTGTCAGTGTTTTTAATTTTGGCAATTCAAATAGGTATACAGTAGTATGTCATTGTGATTTTAATTTATTATGCTTTTCTGGAATGGCTAATGATATTGAGCATCTTTTCACAGACTTATTGGCCATTCTTATATCCCCTTCATATTTCTTCTATTTTTAGTTGGTTATTTGTCTTGTTTTTGAGTTGTGAGAGTTCTTTATATATTCATAGAACAAGTTATTTATCAGATTTATATATTGAAATATTTCTTCCTAGTGTGTGGATTGCCTTTTAATTTTTTGAACAGTATCTTTCTAAAAGTTTTAATTTTAATGTTATCCATTTTTAGTCTTTTTCTTTTATGGTTCATGCTTTTTTTGTCCTAAGAAATGTTTGCCTAAGGCTACAAAAATTTTTCTCTTACCGCTTCTTCTAAGTTTTACAGTTTAATTTTCATGTCTATATTGATGACCTTTTTTTTTTTTTTTTTTGACACCCAGTGCCATGACGTCAGCTTAGCTCACATCAACCTCAAACTCCTGGGCTCAAGCGATCCTCCTGCCTCAGCCTCCCAAGTAGCTGGGACTAAGGCATGTGCCACTACGCCTGGCTGATTTTTTCATTTTTATATTTCTAGTTGCCCAGCCAAATTTCTTTCTATTTTTAAGTAGAGATGAGGTCTCACTGTTGCTCAGGCTGGTCTCGAACTCCTGAGCTCAAGCAGTCCTCCCGCCTCGGCCTCCCAGAGAGCTAGGATTACAGGTGTGAGCCACCACGCCTGGCCTTGATGACCATTTTTTAGTTTATTTTTGTATATGATTTAATGTAAGAATTAAGGGGCTTTTTGTTTTTTTAAAAAAATAGATACCCAGTTTTAGCGATACTTGTTGAAAAAACTTTCCTTTCCCCATTGAATAACCTTGCCACTAAATAACCTTGGCACCTGTATCAGACCTTGATTGCTGGCGTATTTTTGGACACTGTTCTGTTCTCTTTATCTGTATATCTGTTTTACACCAATACCACACTCTCTTGATTATTGTAACTTTATAAGAAGTGTTGAAATCCTGTAGTGTTAAGCCTTCTAGTTCTGTTCTTTTCTAAAAAGTTTCTTTGTATTATCATATAAATTTTAGAATTAATTTGTCAATTTTTATAAAAATGCCTACTGGTATTTTAACTAGCATTGCTTTGAATTTAAAGATTAATTTGGGGAGAGCTGACATTTTAACAGTATTGAGTCTTAGTCCTTGAATTTAGTATATTTCTCCATTTATTTAGGCTGTCTTTAATTTCTCTGAGCAGTGTTTTGTATTTTTCAGGGTATAGTGCTGGATTTGGTGATTGGTACTGAACTTTGTTTTATGCCATTGCTTGCTCTATTTTCTCAGTCCCATTTAGTTTATGACTATCTTTTCCATCTTGTTTGAAATGCCATTTCAAAATTCTTATATGTACAGTAATGCATTACTTACATTCTGAGAAATGTGTTGTTAGACGATTTTGTCATTGTGGGAATATCATAGAGTTTACTTATGCAAACCTAGATGATACAGCCTACTATACCCCTAGGCTATGCAGTACAGGCTATTGTTCCCAGGCTACAAACCCCCTGCAGCGTGTGTACTGAATACTATAGACAACTGTAACACAATGGGAACTATTTTGATACCTAAACATAGAAAAGTACAATAAAAATACATAGAATATTATAGTCTTATGGGACCACTGTTGTATATGCAGCCCATCATTGACTGAAATGTCATTATGTATCGCATGACTATACTTGGATCTGTTTTTGTATTTTCTCCTGGGATTTTGAAAGTGGGGAGCAGACAAGAAAGTCTCTTGATTAAAAACCAGAATATATGTTTAGGAAGGAAAGTGTATTAGCTACTTTTCAATATTATGATTTTTCTCTATTTTGCCTTTGTAGCAGTTTTTAAGAAAAGTTTTATAAATCTACAATTGATATTTTAAATTTTTGATTGGATTATATTGCCATTTTAAAGTACATGCAAAGTCCACTAGTGCTATATACTTTTGAACTTAAGTGCAAGGGTTTAATTTCTTTCGAGTTAATCTTATTTAAAATAATTCTGTTAGAGTTGTATAAATTTTGACTTTTTGTTTCATAGTTTATCTGGAGGAATGTGAACTGGCTAAACAGCTACATCCAAAGGAAAATGATTTGGTGTTTTTGGTTCCTGAGAGACAGAACGGAGAGAAGAAAGATATAGAGAGAAATTGCATGCAGGATCTCCATGAATATCATTGTGGTTATGTTCACAAGTTTCGCCGCACTTCAGTCAGTAAGTAAATAACGAGACATTAACAAGAAATCTATCAGATATAAGCTCATCTTCTAATTTCCCTCAAAATTGTGTTTTACCAGCCATGTATTTGACAAACATTTATGAAACATGTTTTTACTGTGTGTCGACAACTTGTTATTCAGAGTCCCTTTCCTAGTTTTTCTAGACTCATCTGGAAAGACCCCGTATTTATTGCTATAGCCTTATGATTTAAAAGCTTTCTTTTGTAATGTCCTCCTCTTCTGGTACATTCCTCTGTCTGTCATTGTGTTTGCTATAACCATCTGTTAACCACTTGCAAGCCATCTGTTTGTTATATCTGAAATCACATCCCAACCTTGGTCTTGTGGCTAGTTACTAATGAGAACATAAAACTCATTGTAAGGCAGCTTGAGGAATCTACTATTTTATTTATTTATTTATTTTAACTTGGACAACTCTGGAAGGAATCTGCTGTTTGCATCACTGCCATTCACTAGATTGTAGGGACTTTTCTCCCTAAGGTAGTGTAATAACAAAAATGTTACAGGTGTGAGTGGCTCAGGCCTGTAATCCCAGCACTTCGGGAGGCCATGATGGGAGGATCACTTGAGGCTAGGAGTTGGAGACCAGCCTGAGCAACATAGTAACACCTCATCTCTACAAAAAAATAGAAAAATGAGTGTGCCTGTAGTCCCAGCTACTTGAAGGCTGAGGCAGGAGAATTGCTTGAGCCCAGGAGTTTGAGGTTGCAGTGAGCTATGATGACACCACTGCACTCTAGCCTGGGAAACAGTGAGACCTTCAAAAAAAAAGAAATAGGAATAAAGCTCCTTAGGGCAACATTATACTGCATTATAACAGGTGTGCTATGTTTGTTAGCATAAATAGAGCTTAATTCTTTTTGTAGAATGCATGTAGAAGAGTTCCAGCAGGGATATATGGCTTATTCTGTGCTTTTGGCTCTTGCAAATGATAACATTTGCCAAATTTATAGTTCTGAGGCAGTCTCCTTCCCTGAACTACTCATGGATCAAAACTATCTATCTGATATCTCAATTTGGAGACCTGTTGGATATTTCAAACCTACTAGTCCAAAAGTAAACACTTGATTTTCTGCCTGATATATGCTCTTCCTTTAGTCTTTCCCATCTTGTTAAGTGGGGCCTCCGTTTTTTAAGTTGCTCAGGCCAAAAAGCTTGGGATCAGCCATGATCCTTACTTTCTCTCACACCCTACATCTAATTGATGAGCACATTCTCTTAACTCATCCTTTGCAGTAAATCCAAACTTCAGTCCCCACCTCTGCATCCTGGCGCAAACTATCATTCACTTTTACCTAGATTACTGCAGTAGCCTTGTAAGTGGTCTTTTTGCTTCTGTACTTTTCCCATTGCAGTTTTTTCTTTGTTCTGCAGTAAGAGTGATTCTTTTAATGTGTAAGGTAGAGCTTGTTACTTCCCTACACATAGCTGCCCCATGGCTTTCTGCCTGCCTCTGAATAGTGTCCAGAATCATTACTGTGGTCTGCAGAGCCCTATAAAGTATAGGCCCAATTTAATTCTCTGAGTTGCTTAGCATTCTTCTCCCTATTTTTCCTTCCAGCCATATTGGCCTTCTCCCTGTTCGTAAAGTACTTCTGACACATTTGTGCCTTAGGATCTTTGTGGTTGCTGATTCTCTGCCTGTGGCACTCTTTCCCCCTTGCTGAGGACACAGTGAGCTCCCTTATTCACGTCTCTACTCCAGTATCACATCGTCGGGCAGCCCTTCCCTGACCAGCCTGTCTCCCTCGATCCTCCATCACTTCCTTGTCCACTTTCTCTGCTTCCTCATAACATTTATTGCCATCTAACATGTTTATTTCACTATCTGTCTCCCTCTTCTAGAAAGTAAGCCTCCAGAGGACAGAACATTCCCTGGTTCTTAGGAGGCATTCAATAAATACTTATTGAGTGAATTTTTAAAATAATATACCATACAAAAAATGTAAGTTATAAAATACCTAGCTCTGAATTATCTTTTTTTTTTTTTTTTTGAGACAAGGTCTCACTCTTTTGCCCTGGCTAGAGTGAGTGCCGTGGCGTCAGCCTAGCTCACAGCAACCTCAAACTCCTGGGCTCAAGCGATCCTTGTGCCTCAGCCTCCCGAGTAGCTGGGACTACAGGCATGTGCCACCATGCCCGGCTAGTTTTTTCTTATATTTTTAGTTGTCTGATTAATTTCTTGGGGTCTCGCTCTTGCTCAGGCTGGTTTCGAACTCCTGAGCACAAACAATCCACCCACCTCGGCCTCCCAGAGTGTGAATTATCTTTTTAACTGAACAGCATTATTCACTGGTAACTGAAATTGCTTTTTCTCCTTCTTGATAATAGTGCGTAATGGGAAATCTGAGTGTTCCCTTTCCATCCAGACTCAAGATAACCTGCCAGCCAATTTAAATGAGCTTGTGAAGTGTATTGTAATCAGTTCTCTGGTAACTACGCAAAGGAAGTTGAAAGCCATGTCTCTCTTGAATGGTCGGAACCAACTGGCTAGAGCTGTTCTAAATCCAAACCCCATGGACTTCTGTACAAAAGATTTACTGACTACAACGTCTGAGAGAATTGTGAGTGATAAAAAGAAAATTTTACATCAGGATGTTGAAGCATCATATTGTTAGCTACTGCATACAACAAAGACACTTTCACTGTGAATGCACAGTTTAGTGCTAAGTGTTCTTTAATATTGCAGAGTATGTAATTAGGTTGGTCAGCTTACCTCAGGAAAAGGTACAATACAGTAGAGTTGAAGGTATGCTGGAAGAGCATCGTTAAAATCTTAGGTCAGCATCCTACTTAAATGTTAATTAGCTGATAAAGTTCAGGAGTAGGAGTCTCAGGGTTAGTAGTGTTAAATTTGTATTTGAATGATTGATGGAGAATTGACTGATAATGTTGCAAAGGCAAAGATGAAGTTGTTATCTTGTGTGAACCTGTGTTTTTCACCGTAGGAGCAGTATATAAACTCCAGGAAATTAACAAAGAGAAAGGCAGAAGAAAACTAATATTTTTTGAACCCCTATGGTGTGCTAGGCTTTCGTGTGCTTTGTCTCAGTGAATTCTCACCTTTTTAAAGGAATCCTAGATTTAATGAATAGCAGAGACTAAGACTTAGAGAGGTGTTAGGAGTTTATTAACCTAGTTTGTAATTTAACTTGAAGTTCAGGCTAGGCATGGGAGTACAGACTCATACCTGTAATCCCAACACTTTGGGAGGCTGAAGCAGGAGGATCACTTGAGCTCAGAAGTTCGAGGTTACGATGAGCTATGATTGGGCCACTCTTCTTCAGCCTAGGGGACGGGAGCCAGACTCTATCTCTGGTAAAAAAAAAAAAAAACAAAACTGAAGTTTAGGCTTAGATCTGACCTTGAAATCCATGCTTTTTCCACTGTATCACATTATGTTAGGAAAGAAATAGTCTTGGAATGTTTTTATTGTCCAAGGAGAGAATTAACTGAAATGGAAAGAAACAAAGAGTAAATAGAAGAAAAGTATAGATCATTAAATGCAGTTTGTTGTGGTCATCTTTGTAAGAATCACAAACAAAAATGTAGATGTGGTACTTGTAAGTATTTGAAGCCTACAGGCACTAATCAGTAATTAGTAAGTAATTAGCATTCCTTCTAACACTGAAAGTGGTTTTTAGATCAAAAGTCACTTTGAGGTCTTACCTGACCATAACCAAAGCCTTTGCCTGACATAGATTGGAAGAAATTTGAATGGATGTTTTTCATTATCTTCCTCTCATGTGCCACTACAGAAAGAACAACTCATTCTCATAAATATCTTTTTATATAGATTGCCTACCTAAAAGATTTCAACGAAGACCAAAAGAAAGCGATAGAAACTGCATATGCCATGGTGAAACAATCACCATCAGTTGCCAAAATCTGCCTAATTCATGGACCACCTGGAACAGGAAAATCAAAAACTATTGTTGGCCTCCTGTACCGCTTGCTGACAGAGGTAGGTGTGGGTGAAGGCACTGGTGCTGTGGACTGGGCACGTCATTGTACTTCACTTGAATTAACTGACGTATAAATAGGTATTGAAGTGCCTTTTCCCCTTTTGTGTATATTTTCAGTACCATGTAGAACTGCATGAGAGAGAAGAATAGCAGAGAGATGGAAGGTTCTCAGTACAAAGAGTAGAGAACACTATCTTGTGTGAAAAAAATCCTAAGGACTAGAATATTGGTCTTTAGGCTTCATTATAGGTTACATCTAAGGCCAGGAAACTCTTGAATGTATTCCTGGGCTATGTTTTGGTTGGATTGAGTACTGATTAAAGTGAGTGGTTGGTAAAGTAAGACTCAAAGCAGTTATAAAATTTTATGCCAGAGTAATTTTAATATCAATGTGAGATATAAATGCTTTTATTTATTCTAAATTTTATTATGGGAACTTTCAAACATACATGGAAGTGAAGAAAAACTGTAAAACTATGTAATAGAGTTCATCATTATTTTTTGTGTGTTTATTTGTTTGGTATGTGTTTGGCAAATTGTAGAACCAGAGGAAGGGGCATTCAGATGAAAACTTCAATGCCAAAATCAAACAGAACCGTGTCCTTGTGTGTGCACCATCCAATGCAGCTGTGGATGAACTTATGAAAAAAATTATCCTCGGATTCAAAGAAAAGTGTAAAGACAAGAAGAATCCTTTGGGTATGATACTTACATGGATTTCTAATTTCTTTTTCTTTTCAGTGTTTAGTGTGAATGGCTTTAAATGAGAAAGAGCAAACCAATCCTGGCAATAACTTCTACTTGGGGCTGTGGCCCATGTGTACTTGTTGATTCATTTAGCACATATTTTATTGAGCATTTACTTGATGCCAGGCACTGTACCAAGTACTGATTTTTTAACAGTGAAGCCTTCAAGGAGACATACAGTCTAATGAGGAAGAAGGCAGGTCAGTGGACAATTACAGCATAGAGTGGTAAGTTCCATAACAGGGTTAAAATGGGGGATGTTTCCAGATACCTCAGAGGGGCCCTTGATTCAGTCTTGTGAGAACTAGGGAAGGCTTACGGAGGAAATGATGTAGAAGATGAAACCTGAAGAGCAAGTAGGAGTTAGCCACAGGAAGTGGGGGAGGTGATGGAGGGAGACTTGAGCAGGGATTACTAGAAGTAAAAAGGACCAGGACCAGAGAACCTTGAGTGGTTCAGTATAACTAGAATGTAGTAAGCTCCACAAAGGCAGGGGTTTGGATTGGTTCACTGCAGTATCTCCAGTTCCTAGAACAATGCCTGGCTTAGCAGAGCTTGGATGACTAAAAAGTCCTAGCACATTAGGGAGTGGTGAACGTCGAAGCTTTCAGTAAGCATGGGCCTATATCGTTTGTAGTTCCTGAGTGCTTCTTACCATGTGTCAGCAACCCTTGAAGTAATCCTGTGAACTAGGTGTTGACCCTCCTATCTGTGTTGTATAGGTGGGGAAACTGAAGCTTAGAGATGTTAAATGCACTATAGGAATGACTTTTTCCAGCAGAACTGGTGAAGAGCATTACTACAGATGATGCAGGACACTTCAGGGAAGATGGGAAATTATTTCTATTTACTTAACCTTAACACTTTTCATACAACTCATTTTGGGTTATGACTTTGTATTAGACTGCTTTCCTAAGCTCATATGTCTTGTCTTCCCTGCCAAATTTTATTTTCTATAAGGATACCTGACAGTGCTTTTTATCAATTAGGATTAGATTTGGTTGCAAGTAATAGATACTCCAAATACAGCGGCTTAAATGATAGAAGTTTCCTTCTTTTTTATTCAGAAGCACAGAGGTGGGCATTTTGGGACTAGGACCAGAGTTACTGGTTTGGTGACTCTGCTTCAGAGTCTTCGGATACCCAGGCTCCTCCTATCTGTTGCTCCACCATGTGTGGCCTCCATTTCTTAGTGTGCCTCCTGGTCAGGGATAGCTGCTCCAGCTTCAGCAAGGGGGAGAAAAAGATGAAAGAGGAGGAAAGGGAGCATACTAGCCATATTTTAAGGAAGAATCCTAGATGCTGCCAGTAGCATCTCTACCTATATTCTCTTGGCCACACTCAGCTACAAAAGAGGCTGGGACATGTCATCTTTATGCTGAGGGATCAATGCATTTTTCCTTTTAACTACATATGTGTTACCTACATGTAGAATCCATTTGTTTTTTAATACCTACAGTACATTGTCAGTCTGCAGCTCTTTCCACTTGCCATTCATTACGTTTGTGAAATTGATGATTTTATGTATTATTAACTGCTAGAGGGTGTTTCATTGTATGAGTGCACAATTTATTCATGATCCATTGATAATTTAGATTCTTTTCAATTTTTTATTATTTCAAATTTTATTATAGTGAACATTCTTATAATTGTGCATGTTTGTCCAATCAGGTATAAAAATGCTTACTGCCATAGATAAATGAATTGTACTGTGTAATACTATGTAACAGTTAAAAGGAGTACCCTAAAGCACAACGTTCTTAGTCATGTCTCTGGCATATACATGCAGCTTTCTAGGGCAGTGCTTCTCAAATTGTGGATTGTGACCTACTAATGCAGTGGTCCCCAACGTTTTTTGCAGCAGCAACCGGTTTCATGGAAGACAATTTTTTCATGAATGGGAGGAGGGGCAGTGCAGAGCTCAGGCGGTGAGGCAAGCAATGGGGAATGGCTGTGAATAACCGATGAAGCCTTTCTGGCTTGCCTGCTGCTCCTCTCCTGCCGTGCACACCCCCCCCACACACACACCCATTTCCTAAGTTTCATAGAAGACAGTTTTTCCAGGACATGGGTGGCTGTAGTCTGTGGCGCAGTCCCTAACAGGACACAGACCGGACTGGTACTGATCCATGGTCAGGGGGTTGGGGACCACAGTACCAATAGATTATAATATCAGTTTAGGGATACCAGGATCAGCATACTTTAAAAAGTTATAATACAACAGAAGAAAATAGAAAAGAACAGAGTATAAGCAGTGAGGGTAAATACAGGTTGAGTATTCCTAATCTGAAATGTTCAAAAATCCAAAACTTTTTGAGTGCCAATATGATGCTTAAAGAAGAAGTGCTCATTGGTTTATTTGAACAGTTCAGATTTCAGATATTTGGATTAGGGATGATCACCTGGAAAATACAATACAAATATTACAAAATCCAAAATATCCAAAATTTGAAACACTTCTGGTCCCAAGCATTTCAGAGATAGGGATACTTAACCTTTATTGTTTTGTGAAATTTGTTTCAGTTGTATGTGCGTACGTGCACACACATGTGCTGGGTTTCAGTGTAAAGTGTACTTTATAATACAGGTCAACGTTAGAAAGTGTTTGTAAAAACACTGGTTTCTAGCATATGTCCAGAAGTGAAAATGGGGAGTTGAAGGTTTTGTACATATTTAGTTTTCCAGGTAGTGCCAAATTGTTCTTGAAAGTGGTCGCACCATTTTATACCTCTAAGAGCAGTCCCTGTGTGGTGTGCAGTTTTATTTTTGTTTTGTTTTTGCTTCTTCCCTGTTCTTTTTTTTTTCGAGACAGTGTCTCACTCTGTTGCCCGGGCTAGAGTGCTGTGGCGTCACCCTAGCTCACAGCAACCTCAAACTCCTGGGCTCAAGCAATCCTTCTGCCTCAGCCTCCCAAGTAGCTGGGACTACAGGCATGCTCCACCATGCCCAGCTAATTTTTTCTATATATTTTTAGTTATCTAGCTAATTTTCTTTCTATTTTTAGTAGAGACGGGGTCTCGCTCTTGCTCAGGCTGGTCTTGAACTCCTGACCTCAAGCAGTCCTCCTGCCTCGGCCTCCCAGAGTGCTAGGATTACAGGCGTGAGCCACCACGCCCAGCCCCTTCCCTGTTCCTTTCACACGTTGGTGAGGTTTTGCTTACCTGTTCTGTCCCTGGCAGCATGAGGTTAAGCACCTTATTAGGTGTGTTGACTCTACAGCAGGGTCAGGACTAGGATGAGGCAAGTGAGTGTCCAGGTTGGATTTTTAAATTAGAGAGCAGTGATACCTTCTGTGAATAAAGAGAGCTTTTTCTTGTTTTTCACCACTTTCATTTTCACTTCTTTTTACTACTTCTAGTGGTCCTGGGTGTCCTTTAAGGAAATGCCTCAGACATCTCCGCATTACATATGTTGTTTCCGGGTTTTGTATTTTTATATATATGTATACATATATATATATATATCCTTTATCAAGTTGAAGAGTTCCTTTCTCATTAAGAGTCCTTATCATAAATGGGTGTTGAATTTTATTGCATGCTGTCTTCCATTGAAATAGTAATGAAGTTTTTCTTTAATCTGTTACTATGGTAAATTACAGTGTTTTTCTGATGTTAAAATAGCTTTAATTCCTAGAATAAGGTCAACTTGATCTTGTATTATTTTTAACACATTGCTAAATTGCTAATGTTTTATTTAGGACTTTGAAATTAGTATTCATAAATGAGGCCAGTCTGTAATTTTTATTTGTCCTAATAGCTTTGTCTAGTTTTAGAATTGAAGTTACGCAGACTTTAAAAAATGAGTTGAGAATTTTTTTATTTGTTGGAATGTTTTGTGTAAGACAGATTATCTGTTTCTTGAAGGTTAATTTGTTACTAGTGTTGTTTTATTTTGTATTTTTTGTCTATTTTTTGACAGAATTGGTACATATTTATTTACTGTTTTAACATCATTAGTAGTTACATCTGTCTATGCAAGTTTTCTAGTTTTGAATGAGTTTTGCTAATATTTTTTTAAGAAAAATTTCTACTTCAACTAAAGTTTTTGTACATAAGCATAAAATTGTTCATTGCATTCTTATTTTTAAAAATCTGAAATGTATTTGTGGTTGGATCCCCTTTGTCAGTTTCTGTGTTATATATTTATTCCCTAAATCTACATGTGTCACAGGCCTGTGGTTGGAAAGTATGAGGAGAGAATTTATTTCTAACTCAGCTGAGTCCGGGCCAAGATAGATATACTTACTTCTCATCTGCTTCTTCCAGGCACCTTTGCTTTCTGGTGGACATTAAAATCCAAGCCCCCATTATAGAAATTTCTGTATTTTTATTGGAATGGTATTAATAGTTTCATCAATGTAGACATTTGTCAGACTCATAGAATTAAAGATTTTTAAATCTCTTCATCTTACTGGATATAAATGATACCTCAGTAATGCTGGTTTAAAGAGCAAAACACACCTAGCACGCAGACACTGATCAACCCTCACCTCATACCCTGCTCCCTCAGGGTTGCCACAGCAGCCCAGGAGCCTTCAAGTCCAGTTTTTCTGTCTTTCTCTCTTTGGCCTCAAGGAATTTCTTACGTTCTTCTAAGCTCACCCTGCAATGTAAAGGATGTCTGTTATAATTTACAGAACATTTCTTGATATTTATAGTGAGTGAGTTTCCAGGTAATCTCTCATCCATGTTTCTGGTAGAAACACAGTGAGTTAAGCAGTTTTTTGTTTATTTTATTCTTTTAGAGACAGGGTCTCGCTCTGTCACTCAGGCTGGAGTGCAGTGGTGTGATCATAGCTCACTGCAGTGTGGAACTCCTGGCCTCAGACAGTCCTCCCACCTCAGCCTCCTGAGTAGCTGGGACTACAGGAATACAGGTGTGTGCCATCACGCCTGGCTAATTTTTTTTTATATAGGCAGGGTCTGGCTATATTGCCCAGGCCAGTCTTGAACTAGTAGCCTCAAGTGATCCTCCTACCTCAGTCTCCCAAGTTGCTGGGATTACAGGGGTGAGCCACCACATCTGTCCAAGGTAAGCAGTTTTCAAAACCCTCAAGTAAATTATGACCAGAGAGGTTGGCCTCAAATTTAGGAGAACGAGCTGAACTAGGATCAAAAATATGCAGTAGATAACTGTAAACATAAGCCATTCATTCAACATATGTTTATTGTACTTAATTATGTGCACTGGTATGTTCTAGGCAGGGACCAAAACAAAATATTCTTTTGGGACTTAACAGTGGAAGGAGATTATAAACAAATTACTATATGATATGTCAGATTGGGATAAATACTGATAAAACTCTGCAGGATTGCTATAATTTAGCCCAGTGAGGCAGTGGGAAATTTTTAGATTAAATAATAACATGTGATCTGAAATAAAAATTAATGGGCAGGTTAAATGGTGTTTGTAGTTGCTAGAATTACTGTACTCAAGAACTTCTGTCACCTGTGTTCCTTGGATTCCGGAGTAGCAATGTGATGTGAAGCATAGTTTCAAAGATTTCGTACTGAATATTGTGCAAAAAAGGATTTGATGGTCAAATAAGATTCTGTTTTGGAAATTAAAACACATTGTATTATATAAGTCCTTGAAATATTCTGTGGTTAAGAGAACTGCTTTATTTATTTAAATTCACCATTTGCCAAATCTGTTTTCCTATGGGATGTTCTATAGAACAGACTTTGAAAACATTAGTATAATAGACTCTCAGCTCTGCAATGTACTATTTATGTGACCTTGCTAGCTTTTATTAAGTAAAAATGATAAATACTTGCCTTACAGGGTTATGAAGAATATCTGAAATAATGTATAAGCAGTCACCTGGGTAGTTGCTGGCATCTAGTTGATTGACAGTTCATGTTAACTCCCTTTCTCTGATTGTTAATATATTTTCTTAGAAATAGATATTATGTAGAGAGACAGGATATATTAGCAGTGTCCTTATTAATTTTTAAGTATGATTTTTATCAACAGGAAACTGTGGAGATATAAATTTAGTACGACTGGGTCCAGAAAAGTCTATTAATAATGAGGTTCTAAAATTCAGTTTGGACAGCCAAGTTAACCACAGAATGAGTAAGTACATACTAGTGTTTTCTATATTTCCTTTCGTATGGTAGAAAATCACTTGGGTACTAAAGGTAATTTGGAGACCCCAGAAATAATCTAGCTTTGGAAACTAGTTTTCCTTCTCATTGTGTTTGTGTTTGTGTGTGAGTTTGTTCAAATTAACATACAATTTTTTATTTTTTATTTTTATTAGAAAAAGACTTACCTTCTCATGTTCAGGATATGCATAGAAAAAAGGATTCTCTAGATCATCAACTAGATGAGCTTTCTCGTCAGCGAGCTTTGTGCCGAGGTGGACGGGAAATACAGGTATCTAAACATTTCTTAATATTCTTTAGATAATAACTCATAGGTATAAAAACTAGCTGATGAGTATGTGATGCCCTTCTTTTATTAGGGAATGGCAGAATTCATATATAAAACTATGTACTAAAGTGGTATGTCTTTATATCAGGTGTTAGCAAACTTCTTTATAAGGGCAAGTTAGTAAGTATCTTAGGCTTTGTGGGCTATATGGTTGGTCTCTGTTGCAGCTACTCAACTCTGCTTTTGTAGCGTGAAAGCAGTCATAGATAACACATAAACAAATGGATGTGCCTGTGTTGCAAAAAACTTTATTTAAAAGAATAGATGATGCGTTGCATTTGGCTTGTAAGCTATACTGCTTTATATTAAAGCTATACTAAATTTATTAGGTATCTTTCAGGTGTAAGTTAAAGAAACCCAGTTCAAATTAGGTTAGACAAAAAGGGAATTTTACTGACTCATATACCTGGAAAATCCAGGAGTATATTAGCTTCAGCATGGGTGGATGCAAAGGTTCAAATGATATCATTTCTCCACTTCTTGATTGATTTTTTTCTCTGTGCCAGCCATTTCTTCTCCAGGAGAAAATAAGTATCAACATTTCTGGGCTCTATAATCCCAGCTTAGAAACCCCATGGGGAGAGAAGGTCTCTCTCCCAGCATCCATGCCTCAATTCCAAGGAAGGACTTTGATTAGTCCTTGGGTGGACAACCAGTTCTAATCTCTGTTTTTAAGGGAGTAGGTGCCATGATTTGCCAGACCTGTATTATAGGCCCATCACTGTGGCCAGAGGAATGATTGGGGTGTGATTGACAGCCTTATTTGAACCACCTAGAAGTTAGTGAAGGAATGATGTTCCCAGGGGTTGCTTGCTAAGCAGACAAATAGCATACATGCAATACATATGACATAACTGAATCTTACACAACAATACAGAAAGTGTGTCAGGACTTTACTGGTAAAGAGAAAACAAGCTGGGTTAATAAGTGTTTCGTTGGTAAAATATAGGCTCACTCTTAAAATGTGAGGCAGTCCATTGGAAAGCATTTTAAAAGGCTTGATTTTACATCTCTAGTCTTAAACAAAAGGCTTGGTTTAGTTTTAATGATGGCATTCCAATTTTTTCTAGAGGCAAGAATTAGATGAAAAAATTGCCAAAGTTTCTAAAGAAAGGCAGGAACTTGCTTCTAAAATTAAGGAGGTAAGTAGTTCACCTATAGCATTGTGTTGATGTTTCTTTTTTTATTTAATTATGAAATAGTTCAGACTACCTATGGACTTTTCTCAGTTACACTTTAAAATGTTTATTATGAAAAATTGCAGACATCTATGGAAGTGGAGAAAATGGTGTAATTACATTTATTTACATTACATTTGTTTCTTTAACCTAAGAATAAATTCTTAACACCATCTGAGATTTTAAAGAAAGAAGTGATTATAAATTATCTTTTTTCTGTTTTAGGTCAGGAAAATATTTAAAATCCCTCTTATAAGGTGCTCTGTTTCTGCTTTCCACCCATTGTAGAAACCAGTTATAATAATCAGATAGTTAGTGAAAATAGGTTTATGGGTATTTTCCCTATTAAAAAGAAAAAAAATCACCTGTGTGAGCTTTAGGACGAAGAGGGTAACTGTGGGCTTTCCAGTGATGGTGGGTAGGATTTGGGATAAGAAAGTACAGCACTTTTTTTGTTTGTTTTTGCAATCCGTGGCTTAGAGCATTAACTCTGTATTTGTCTTTGATCATCAGAATCCTGTAACGTGTATAGCTTTTCCCCAGTATTCTTTGGATGTAAAAATAGCAGATAAGGTTTAGACTAAGTGAAGCTAGACTGAGTCAAATGTATGTCATGATCCTCAGAATGCAGCCCTAATCAGACCAAGCAAGGTTGGGGAGGGAGGGTAATTGTAACCAGAAATGTGTTACAAGTAGTTTTGAGCTGAGGTTTTTCTCTTGAATTGTATTATTAGCCTTCTCTATATGGCTAAATAAATACAATTAAATTTAATGCATATTTCCATTAGCAGTTTGTTTTTATTTAAACTAAAAACTATGTGAAAGCTCTTTATTAAAATTTTAAACTGAGTGCAAAATCTTCTCAGATTTAATGATGTTCACAAGTGTTGTGGTTTTTGCTGCTCATTACACACGTTCTGTGGACCATTGACTTAGTCATGCTTGGCACTTTTACTCACTAGATGGCTGAGGAGAGAGCTGACAGTGCTTTGCCCTGTACGTTGTGGAGGGCCACAGTGCCACCCTCTTGAGCTCCATGGTCCAATATATAGCAGAGATGAATCACAGCTGCCTCTCAGTAGCAGAAGTAGGCAAACTGAATCTCTGATAAGAGTTCCAATGTATTAATGTGAGCATTACATGGTACACACTCTGAGGGGCCATTTACGTTGTCTAACAGAAAAATATATGTTCAACCTTAGTTCTGACTCTGGTTTTACTCAGATAATTGTTTCACAACTTAGTAGAATACTTCAATCTCTACTTAAATTCTGAAACCTGACTATATGCATCTGGCTACAAGAAGGATTGTAATCTACTTTGACCAAATCAAACCTTGAATAAATTTTTTTTAAATGGTGCTTAAATCATTTTCTGTGCTTAGACTGCAAAGCATAGTATTTTTTCTGGTTTGTTTCTGATTATCTTGAATGCTTCTGTTATTTTCTAGATTTCAGGTTTCCCCCTATCTTTTACTAAATATTTTTCTGTCATATAATAAATCATGGATGTTTTGTAGTAAAAATAGACCTGTCATAATCAAGGGTTTATGTGCACCTGCATATAGATTAACTTCTATTTGTTCTCTTAGGTTCAAGGACGCCCACAGAAAACACAGAGTATCATCATCTTAGAGTCCCATGTCATCTGCTGCACATTGAGCACAAGTGGTGGTTTACTGCTAGAGTCTGCTTTTCGTGGGCAAGGGGGTGTTCCCTTCAGTTGTGTCATTGTTGATGAGGTCAGTGAGCAGGGGGCCATACAGCTTTGACTAGTACCATGAAGAGTAAGTCTTACATGAATTGTGGCTGCTGAAATGTTGATAAAATGGTTTTTTTGCATCTGATTTTTACCTCCCATTACATGTGTATTCCCTTATCATGTAATATGCTGCTGATTACCACCATAGGTAAAATTGCTTCTCTAGTATTGGGATTATAGTCTTAAGGATGACTGATTGTTTCTAACAAAATCTGTGCTGGGTGCTAGCTCCTGCTTGGAATATCTCTTGAAGTAGGAATACCTTTTGAAGTAGTTTAATACAGCTGTGAGCCACAGTGTTTTCAACTTGCATCCTTTATTGCTAGCTCATTCTTTGAGTAAACATTTATTGGGTACCTACCATTTGCAGGAATGTAGAGTCAGAAGACAATAAGAGAAGGAGCATGAGATACAGAGAATTGATCCAGGAGACCCAAGATCCAATATTCACCAGAATGAAAGGACAGTGGAAATGATTAGATAATTGAAGAAAATGTCATTGAATTGAAAAGAAACTTGAGACTTGTGATTGAAGAGGCCTGCTGGGGAACAAGGAAGAAAGATTAGGGAAAACATACAGGCACACCTAATGAGATATTTGAACTTCAGAAAGTTCTAAAAGAACATTAGAAGAGAAGAAAATGCCCAACAGGAACAGAGAACACAAACCTAGAGCTTACATGGCCTTCTAACTTGTGGCTAGTTCCTAAGTGGTAGTGGCTTCCGTGGTGGTTGACTTCAAATTTTGTGTGTGTGTGTATGTGTATGTTTAAGGGTTTGTTTTTTTTTCCTAATGAAAGAAAATACTCTTTTTTGATATTTGGAACAGAACGAGAATGTGGTACTTTTATGAATGCTTAGAACTTTAATTAAAGTATGTATGGATAAATTAATAGCAAAGATAATTAAGACAATTTCTCCCTCTGCACTTTCTTACCAAGGCTGGGCAGTCTTGTGAAGTTGAGACTCTTACTCCACTCATCCATCGCTGCAACAAGCTTGTTCTGGTAGGAGATCCTAAACAGCTCCCTCCCACAGTTATTTCTATGGTAAGTTTTTTCATGTTCAGGTTGCTTTAAGGTGGAAGGAGCTCTTTTTTGTCGTTTTCAGGAGGGGGTATCTTTCTTGGATTGACATCTCTTATTTGGAGGGAAAGGTAGGGAATGACAGAAAAGAAGACCTCAAGACCACTTTTTAAGTCTTAATATGTTTAAAAAAATCTCTAAAAATATCCCTTTGCTCATAGTTGTGCTTCTGTGTCTGCGTGTGGCAGGAGTGTGTGGCAGGACCAGAAGCCTGTGGACGGTTAGGCTCTTTCCCCGTGGGAAAGGAGGGTACAGATATTTTAAAGGCTGAATTGGATTTATTTAAATAACACAAACACCAAAACAATAATAAAAGAACTTTAAAAACAAGGAAAAGAATCCCAACCTCCTGATTTTTATTTAACTATGTGCAAATTTGAGGAAAACACTATAAAAAGAAATTATTTTTGGAGTACATTTCCAATTTTAGAATAGAGCATTCTATAGTACAAAAAAGTGTCTGTGCTTCTTGCATCATCTGAAAGCAAAGATGGCAGGGGAAAAAAGGATTAATTGTGGACTCTGCTGGTGGGGAGATAAGCACCTCTAGATTGTGGTTCACTCTACTTTGTTTTTTTTTTTAAATCTCACTGAAGATGTCTCCTAGAAATGCAAACCAGAATCAGGACTTAGTAGATGTTTGAGATAATCTGAATAGGTCTAGACCGTGGTTTTGAAATTTAGTAAAATTTGTATTTTTTTAATCACATAGATTATTTATACAAATATAGAATAGTGGCATCATAAACAATCCCAGAGAACAGATCATTTTCAGAGTATTTCTGTTGAAGTATGAAATGCATGCATGTGGTTTTTGTTGGTAGTGGTTTTTGACTTGGGAATTATTCATAATGATATTGCAGTTCTTTGTATGATATCTGAGCACAGGTGCCTGATCATGCTGGGGTATAGCCCAGAAGCACACCTGTCGCTGAGTGAAAACCTATGTCTGTAGGGAAGAACTGCTGCAGGTGACTTTTTGTTCTTTGAAAATAGTGAAGAGCAAACTCTGTACCATATTTTTTCAAATAATGCAATATTTCAAAAATCTACTGATTTAACTTCTTGAAGGGCCTCAGCATGTAATGAAAAGGAATTGTTAATGGGCCTCAACTTTACAGATTGATAAAAACAGCAAATGAGAAAAATCTATCCATTTTTGCTTTTTTATTATTATACAAATAAAACAGGCTTATTGAGGAAAATTCAGAAAATAATTACAAGGGTCATTTCCACAACACGCCTTTCTAATCACCTATTTCTAGGGATAATTACTGTGAACAGTGTGATGAGTATTTTAACAGATTTCACTAGGCATTTGTATATGCATTTATTCATGTTTTTCAGTATATATTTATTGAGTGCCAACATAATTCAGGCACTATTTCAGGTTTTGGGGTTATGACAATGAAGAAAATAGACAAAACCACTGCCCTAGTGGAGCTTGCATTCTAGGGGATAGTAGACAGTAAATAAGTTAGTGAAATATGGTATATAGTAATTATAAGCTTTGTATACATGTATATGTATGTGGGTTTGGTTTTGTTCAAAGGTGACAGAATCATTCTGTGCAGAATTGGCTTTTTTTCAGATCAGGGACATCCTTCCATGTTAGAATATATAAATCTACATCATTTTGTAGGATGGACTAAGTTTTTGTCTGGAAGTAGATGTGTTATTTTGTATTAAGTCCTTTTTCTGTTTCCTGAAAGAGAAGATTCAAGATTAGGTTTTGAGCTAACTCGAATAGATAAACTTTTAGGGAAGTGGATGAAATTGTCAAATATCTGTTAGTAATTATTTTATTTAGTTACACAGACCTATTTAAAATCACACTTATAAATAATATATTAATTAAGAATATTGCCCTTTTTCCCACTCTCATAGTTTGTGAAACAGGTATGTTCAAACTTTGCATATACATCTTCAATACCAGTGTCTTCAGCATCACTCATGAAGATTCCATCATCTTAGCACACTTTCAGAGCACATTTTTACTTCTAGATGATTTAAGACATAATCCTTTTCTGAATCTTTGTATCGTGCTATCATTGAAAAGTATATCCCAAGGCACGACTGTGATAACATTAAAACAGTTTTCATTTGTCATTAAGGTCAGTGTTTTTCAGATTGCAGGTTATAACCTATTACTTGGTTTGTGGACTCAATTTAGTATGGGTTTGAGCATCCCTAATCTGAAAATTTGAAATACTCCAAAATCCAAAACTTCTTGAGTGCCAACATGATGTTCAAAGGAAATGTTCGTTGGAGCATTTCAGATTTCAGATTTTCAGATTAGGAATGCTCATGCTGTAAGTCTGGAGTGTGTCTCCTCCACTGGAATCTGAGTTCTGGGAGATTTCATCTTACTCATTGTAGCAATCTCAGCATTCCATGTTGTAGGTGCTCAGTGCTTACGAGATGGATGGACCAAGAACTTGGTCTTCAAAAGGCTTGTTTACAATGGCAGTCAATTTTTCTTTTTGTAAGGACATACCCCAGAAATAATTGTTAAACTCTGTGTTACATGTCTTTGCTTCCTATATTAGTGATTCTTTTGGTTGCCATCTGTTAGCATCAGAATAGCGTTGGTTGTAACCATTCACAAGATTACATCTCTTTCATAAGCAGTGTGTAGGTATTCTAAATAAAGAGAAAATACCTCAACTTACTATATTCAGTATTCACGGCTTTTTGAGAATCAGGGTCAGAAACCTCCCCTTTCTCTGAATCTGTGGTCGCTGGTAGTCTTACGCCACCTGAACCTTGGCCACATACATGTTAAGCTCAGTAATTGTATTTCTGACAATGGGAAAAGTATAAATGAATTCTTGGAAATTATTGCCTATTTTTCCCCTCTCAGAAAGCACAGGAGTATGGCTATGACCAATCAATGATGGCTCGCTTCTATAAACTACTGGAAGAGAACGTGGAACAGAACATGATCGGCAGACTGCCTATTCTACAGCTTACTGTTCAGTACAGGATGCATCCAGACATATGTCTCTTCCCTTCTAATTATATTTATAACAGAACCTTGAAAACAAATAGGTGGGTTCCCTGCATTGCTTGTGAGCTTATTTTATTTGTAGCTATTTAGGAAGAATAGATACTTTACTGTAGTTTTCTAAATAAAAGATCATGCTGATTACAGCAAATACAGATAAAAAAGAAATGGAAAAAAAATCACCCATATTTATACTACTGAAAAATAATCACTGATGACATTTTGGTATATCTACTTCCAGTCCTTTTATTATGCATATCCTTTTTTTTTTTTTTTTTTTAACTTTTTTTCTTTGTAAAATGTTTGGGAAAAAGTTGGACCATATTCTACAATAATGTTTTATGGTGTGCTTTTTTTCACTTATCATGAGTAACTTTCCAATCATAATTGTTTAGTTTTTTTGTTTGTTTGTTGAGACTGAGTCTGAGTCTTGTCGCCTTGGCTAGAGTGCAGTGGTGTCATCGTAGCTCATAGCAGCCTCCAACTCCTAGGCTCACATGATCCTGCCTCAGCCTCTCAAGTTAGCTGGGACTACAGGCGTGTGCCAGCATGTCTGACTAAGTTTTTTCTGGGTGTTTTTTATTTTTTTTTGTGAGACAGGATCTTGCTCTTCAGGCTGGTCTCAAACTCCTGAGCTCGAGCAATCCTCCGGCCTTGGCCTCCCAGAATGCTAGGATTTACAGGCGTGAGCCACCGCACCCAGCCATAATTGTTATAGTTTAATGACATATTTTTCCCTAGCAGTAGAATAGAAATAAAATCCATTTTGTACCTTTCACAGAAACACATCTATAAAAGAAGTTCCCTCCCTCATATGGAAAAGATGGTAGTAATGATAATAAAAGATTTTCTTATAACTCAGCTTACATTCTGAATGGTGGCTGCTTTTTTATAGACAGACAGAAACCTTTCGATGTTCATCAGACTGGCCGTTTCAACCTTACCTTGTGTTTGATGTCGGAGATGGTTCAGAAAGACGGGATAATGAGTATGTTCTCTTCTTGCTTTGGTCCCGAAATTGTTGCATTATTTTTGTTCAGATTTATATTAAAACATTTTCCACACACATCTCTCTGCCCCGTGCCAGGGTCCAGTCATTTTCACTCAGCTATGTTGAAAGCTTCTCCTTTTTTCTGTATATTGGGGATAGTATTACCTAACATGAGGTAAATAAGCACTTGAGTAGGTTCAGGTTGAGATCACAGCAGTAAGTGAAACAACAGATGTGGCCCCATTGCAAGATTATTGTGGTCTAATGGGGAGGCAGACCTTAACTAGGTGATTGCCTAGGTAAGCAGTTGCACCAGTTGGGTTCAGTACCACGAAGGATAAATACGGACTCAATTGAATTAAGGTGTGAACAGGAGTAAGGCAGTAGAGACAGAGGTTGGACAGTATTGGGGTTGTGAATAAGGGAATGTGTTCAGGTGGTCTGTAAATGACAGCAAGAAGGAATTTTGGTCTTGGTGGATAGTAGCAATGTAAGAAGAAGCAGGGATTCTTCTGAGAGAGTAGAGGAGTGATAGTCTGGAGGCAGCATTTGTTAGCACCAGTACAAACCCTGCCTCTATATCGTAAAGTATGAGGACATACAAATTCCACTTCCATGTCATGAGAGGGTTGCAGAGCAGGTGGTGCCCTCACATGAGAATCGGATATTATTTAAGATGTACAGGTTGGGGGAAGTCACATTCATTGCAGATGTTAAAAATACAGAGGAGGAGTTGGCCATGGGATTGCAGTGCTCAAAGGATTACAGTGTAAAGGTTTTAGTGGGGCCTGTTGGAGGAGAGCAAAGGACTGAGAGTTGAGCCCCAGAGCATTACGAGGATGGAGAGTCATGAGAGAAATGCTGACCAGAGAGGTGAATGCTGACCTGAGCAGCAACCAAGGAAAATGAAGAGATAGCTAGCTGTCTATATACTAAATCTCCAAGTTAGGATAACTGGGTATTTAAGGCTCTTAAAGTGAGACAGGTAAGGTAGCCTCAGGAATAAAGGTGTAGGTGCAGTACGTCCCCTGGTGTTGGTACATGTTGGATCTGGTTTGGAAATGAAGGAATACGTGGTTCAGAGGGTAGGTTGGGACTGCAAGATATGAGGCCAGTGAGGACGACAATGAGAACATGAGCCTGCCGCAGGGCCTCATGTTGTTCAACTCTGGGGGCCACGTCATTCACACTTAGTTTGTGTGGATACGACATCTTCGTCGTGTGGTGTGCGGTCTGTATGGCCAGTGGTGGGGAATTAAGGAAGAAATATATCTAAAGCATTTTCTCAGTAAATCTAAGTAAGCATTTTCTAAGATAGTAAGTCTTTAATTCATGTTATCTATTTATTGTTCAAATCTTCATTCTTGAAGTGTTCCTTACTATTGGCTATCCCGGTTTTAACAGATGAAGAAATTGGTTCCTAAACTTCAGTTGATTCAAAATTCCTCTTTCTCTACAACTTCGTTTCACTGGGCAGTTATTTTCATATTCATTCATATGTACAGTATTAATGCTCATAACAGCCTTTTTGAATCACTACTGGCTGAATAAAAGATGAAACCTCTCTGCCTGCCCTTTACTGTAATGGGAAACAAATGAAGTAGAACTTAAGTTAGCACTTGGACTGCTGTTAGTTTTGATGTGTTGTGTTTTCTTTTTCCATCTTATTTAGCTCATATGTAAATGTTCAAGAAATAAAACTGGTGATGGAAATAATTAAGCTTATTAAAGACAAAAGAAGGGATGTTACTTTTCGAAACATTGGCATAATAACCCATTACAAGGCCCAGAAGACAATGATTCAGAAGGATTTGGACAAAGAGTTTGATAGAAAAGGGTGAGGTATTTTTATAAATATTTCCAATTTTCCTATTGAATTAGAAGAGAGGGGATAGAAGGAAAAAAGAAAAGGAAACTTAACTCCAGAGAGTGTTCTCACACCATGTAAAGTGGTGATAGACTACAAGGAGACAGGGATGCTGGCTTTCATAGACTCGTGCTGTGTAGGTACACTTGCGCTCCCTGCAGACAGGATACTTACTGGCAGTTGGAATGTCAACATTGTACTTGACAGTGGAATTGACTGAGAAACTTTCCAGGTCTTTTCCCTGTAGCTCCATGATTTGTTATTCTAAATTTTTTTTTTCTTTCTTTTTTTTTTTTTTGACAAAGTCTCACTCTGTCACCTGGGCTAGAATGCAGTGGCCTCAGCCTAGCTCACAGCAGCCTCAAAACTCCCATGTTCAACGATTCTCCTGCCTCAGCCTCCTGGGATTACAGGCGCACGCCATGATGCCCAGCTAATTTTTCTATTTTTAGCAGCAAGGGAGTCTCACTCTTGCTCAGGCTGGTCTCCAACTCCTGAGCTCAAGGGATCCTCCTGCCTCGCCCTCCAGAGTGCTAGGATTACAGACGTGAGCCACTGCACCCAGCCTTCTAAATTCTAATTTTAGCCAGACTAGAAGTCACATTTCACTTTGAATAAATTATTTAACCTTTTTATTGCCTTTATGTATAGAGTGAAGACCATGTTTTTGTCTCCTTCTTAACAGTAAAATTAAAGACTAAATTTTGGAAATCCATTACTTCAAAAGTTTCTTAATTTGGAAACACACAGACTACCAAAATTGACTCTAGAAAAAAAATGGAAAATCAGACCTATATTACAAGTAAAGAGATATTAGTGATGAAACATCTCCCAAAAATGAAAAGCCTAGGACTAGGCTTCACTGGTGAACTCTACCAAATATTAAAATAAGAATTAACACCAGTCCTTCTCTCACTCTTCCAAAAAATATAAGTACACTTTCAAACTGATTTTATGAGGCCAGTATTATACCAAAGCTAGGGAAAGACATCACAAGAAAACTACACTAACTTCAGGAAAGATGTTTGAAATTCTTGCTACTTCTATTCATCATGATACTAGAGGTTCTAGCCAGAGCAATTAAGCAAAGAAAGAAATAAAAGGCATCCTCATTGGAAAAGAGAGAAGTAAAACTATCCGTTTTCATAGATGACATGATCTTATAGAAACCCTAACAAATTTATACAAAGAAACTCTTAGAGCTAATGAACAGGTATAGCAAAGTTGCAGGATACAAGATCAATGTATAAAGATCTATTCTGTTTTTATACATTAGCAATGAATAATCTGAAGAGGAAGTTAAAACAATTCCATTTACAATAGCATGAAAAAGAATAAAATGCTTGGAAATAAATATAACCAAAGCAGTTTAAGACTTGTACACTGAAAACTACAAAACATTGTTGAAACAAATTAACACCTAAATAAATGGAAAGAAATCCTGTGTTCATGGATTGGAAGACTCAGTATTATTAAGGTGGTGGTACTCCCCTAATTGATCTACAGATTCAATACAGTCTCTATCAAAATTCCAACTGCCTTTTTTTACAGAAATAGTCAAGCTGATAAAACTGTAAAACTTATAAGGAAACATAGATATAAATCTACCTGGACTCCGATTAGGCAGCAGTTTCATAGATAACACCAAAGTGCAGGTAACCAAAGGAAAAAATAGATAAATTGGACTTCACAAAAATTAAAAGCTTTTGTTTGTCAAAAGAGTAAAAAGACCACCCACAGAATGGGTGAAAAATACCTGCAAATCATATATTGATATCTGAGTCTCCTATCCAGAAAATATAAAGAACTCTTATAACTCAAAAAGATAAATAACTTTGTAAATGAGCAAAAGATCTTAATAAACATTCCTCATACAGATGTGCTAATAAATAAGCACATGAAAAAATGTTCATCCTCATTTGTCATTAGGAAAATGAAAATAAAAACCATGGGACACCACACCCACAAAGATGGCTATACAGTGTGAGTGCAGGGTGAGGTGGAGAAAAGAAAAGAGATGGCTAAATAGGTTGAGTATCCCTTATCTGAAATGCTTGGGACCAGAAGCGTTTTGGATTTTGGATTTTTTTCAGATTTTGCAATATTTACATTATACACTTAACCAGTTGAGCATCTTGTTTCTTCTGTGTGTCATGTTGGCACTCAGAAAGTTTTGGATTTTGGAGCATTTTGGATTTCAATTTTCACATTTGGGATGCTCAACTTCTATTAAGAAAAACAGACAATAACAATGTTGGGGAAAACATGGAGAAATTGAAACTCAATTTCCATTTTCTCACAATGCTGGTAAAAATGTAAAATGGCGAATCACTGTAGAAGACAGTTTTATGATTCCTCAAAAAGTTAAATATAGAATTACCGTATGACCCAACAGTGCCACTGCTAGAGATGTACCCAAAAAAATGTCCACACAAAAACTTAAATACGTGGTCATAGCAATAATAGTTAGTCATAATAGCCATAAAGTGGAAGTGATCCAAATGAATATTCATCAGTTGTGAATGGATAACGGATGGTATGTCTGTACAGTGAAATACTAGTAAATCAAAAAAGGAATGAAGTACTGTTAGATGCTATAGCATAGATGAATCTTGGAAATGTTATGCTAAGGGAAAGGAGCCAGTCACAAAGAGCTGTATTTTATGATTCCATTTATATGAAATTTGTAATATAGGAAAGTCTGTAGAGACAAAAAGTAGATTAGTGGTTACCAGGGCATGGGGAGAGGGGAAAATTGACACTAACTGCTAAGATACCATTTCAAAAATCTCTTTAAGATACTACATATAAATATATACATTTAACATTCACTTTTTTCCAGTAAACATGTTTCTCTTTTTTAAATAGACCAGCAGAAGTAGATACTGTGGATGCTTTCCAGGGTCGTCAGAAGGATTGTGTTATTGTTACATGTGTTAGAGCAAATGCCATGCAAGGCTCAATTGGGTGAGTAACTGTAATTGTTTCTTTTTAAGTTGTGTAATAGATCCACTGTTAGGTTTGCTTTTGTTGGTGTCTTGTATATTAACCCATTTCATAGTGTGAAACTGTTCTTTTATTTAATAAGAGTGAAGTAAATGGATTAAGTATACTTTTCGGGGGCATGTTACTTTCACATGGTATGTGTCATAAAGTGTGGTTTTTCCTCTTCTGTTTTCCTGCACTAAGTTTGTTAACCTTAACTACTGTCTGCTTACATAAGATGCTAATGATGCTTTGTATAGGTGACAGAATACTCCCCTGAGTCTCTGGGCCCAAGACTCTAATATGATTATTTGTTCCTGCTTATGAAATTTACAAGGGTAAATTTGTTTAATTGTTCTTAAAGAAAATAGTAATTTAAGTGATCTCTGCCCCTCCCTAGGATGGGCTACATATACAAATAGAAAGCAGTTTTCTCAGGACCATTTTATAAATAGTTCATTCTTTCTCATCTATTGAAATTTCACCTTTATCATATACCACTTCTATTTCTGAGCTCTTTTCTGATTTATTGAAGTATTTGTCTGCTGTTTGTGTATTTCTGCACTAGTTCTACAATATTTTAAGAATCTAAATAATTTCAATTTAAGAATAAGTAATTGAGCTAGTATATTTTTAGGAAATTTTTAAGGCTTAAAGATCATGCTGTTAAAATTTCCAATATCTTATCCAAGTCAAAATAGAAAATTGGTAGACTTTGAAGGCACGCAATGGGGATCTGGCTTGTTTACTGTTTTTAATGGGAATTGCATCTGTAGCAGGTATTCTGTGTTGGGACAGAGTGTGAAAGCACTGGGACTTTTCACACTCCTTCTAATGGAAGGAGCACTAGAAAAGCTGTCTGATATACTTACTGCCTATGTCTCACACGGATATGTTAAGTCATTCTTTAGAAAGAAGTAACTCTTTTTTTATTACTTAGATTCCTGGCAAGTTTGCAGAGGTTGAATGTCACCATTACACGAGCCAAGTACAGCCTCTTCATCCTTGGACATTTAAGGACCCTGATGGTAGGTACCAGAGAGCTCTTGTAGGGACCAGACAGCCCAAAAGTTTGCCCATTATTACCATCATTGGATTGAGTTTTTGTTTTTATTTTCCATCAAAGTGGAAATTATTTCTGGGTTACAAAGTAATGGTTATTATGTCTTCCAGCAACTTCTTCCTTGGTGCTTTTGTGTACCCATAAACCACTCACCCTTTTTCAGCCCAATTATCTATATACAAGGTTCTCAAGGTGACCTTTTTAAAAAAAATTAACTATATCATAGGATTGTTGAGAATTTACATTAAACCCATATATGTAAAGTGCTAGAACAGTGCTTGGCACTTAGTAAACACTCAGTAGATGTGGCTGTTATTGGCCCGGCTTAATGCCAGAGAGAGTTTGCAGGAGTGTGCTCTGATCTGCTTTTCGGTTGGCACCAAGAGCAGTACTGTGCTTGCCCTGTTTCACTTCGGTGGTTAGCGCCTCCTGAGCTCCTCTGCCAGGACAGGCGCTCCTCTAGAAGTGGTGTGTGGGTTTACATCTTGAGTAGATAAATAGTACAACTTAATTTAGTGATATCACAGCTACATATAGTACATATTTGCTGTTTGTCTCAGGGGTAATAACTTCAGTTATTCTCATTTCTTGAGGCACCAACTTTGTAGAATTTTTTCCCCCTCATTTTGGTTAGTACCACCAGAGGGCATTCAGATACACATTCTTTCTCATTTAACTCTTCTCTTACCTAGATCTGTGGTCTTGAACTTTTGTTGTTTGTGTACCCCCTTGAAGGAATTTTTAAAAGCTATGTATCCCTCATTTTTATGTACCCCGTATTTTTAAGTTGATACCAAAAAATTTTTATCCTAAGTATAAATACTGCTAAAGATTGTGTTTTTAATGTATTATAAATATTGACATTTTAAAATAAAACCATTCCGTCACTCTTAAATGTATCCAGTAGTGTAGAAAGATAGCAATATTATTCCTTCCTCTCTTTGAGATTATATTTCCAGTATTACTTATCTAGGATAAAATTCAGTGGGATAATCTATTTTTATAATTAAAAGCCTTTCTATTAATCTCACTGTTACACTTCTCTGCCACAAAAAAACTTACATGTAAATTGAAAGTTTAAAAAGTTGTTTTTCGTAACTCTTTGACGGGTGCATGCAGCCTCTCAGCACTTTTTTTGCAACTTCAGTGAATCTATAGTTATCTCAGAGCGTTTTTTTAAAAATTATTTTTCCTGTAACCATACGGATCTGAGTGTTAAGAAATGAATCCTTAGCTGTGCATAGTGGCTCATGCCTATAATCCAGCACTTTGGGGAGTCCAAGGCAGGAGGATCGCTTTAAGCCAAGAGTTCAAGACCAGCCTAGGCAACATAGTGGGACCCTGTCTCCATAAAAAAATAAAAATAAAAATATTAGCTGAGCATGGTGGCATGTACCTGTAGTCCCAGCTACTCAGGAAGCTGAGGCAGGAGGATCACTTGAGCCCAAGAGTTTGAGGTTGCTGTGAGCTATGATGACACCACTGCACTCCAGCCTGGGCAACAGAGCAAGACCCTGTTTCAAAAGAAAGAAATGATTTCTTGTCCATTGAGTAACCTATTACAATTATTTGTACAGTTAAGCAAAACAAGTATATTACAAATTTTGGTAGTGTTTAAACCTTAAAAGTAAAATGTTACTAGAGATACCGCTAATCAAGTGATGCCTTGATTAAAGGAGCCTTCATGGGCACTACTGTTTTGTTTTTTTTTTTTCTTTTTTTGAGACAGAGTCTCACTCTGTTGCCCTGGCTAGAGTGAGTGCTGTGGTGTTAGCCTAGCTCACAGCAACCTCAAACTCCTGGGCTCAAGCGATCCTCCTGCCTCAGCCTCCCGAGTAGCTGGGACTACAGGCATGTGCCACCAT